AGGTCGGTACTGCAGGTCCCTCCTTCCTAAGTCTTGGAAAGAATTGCTTTAAGAGCTTGGAGAGAATCACAGAGCCGTCTTGCCAGTCCCTCGACAGGCCCAGCCCCTCTTCCCAAGGCCGGGGCAGCCCACTGTGTGCCCGGGGCCCTGGTTACTGCTGCTATGCAGCGAGCTGTGCATCTGTCACCACCACGATGAGGGGTTTCTTATGATCGCTTTACTGTCTTTAAAGCCTGGCCGGAACTCTGACACCTAGAATGTGCTCAATTGAAGTCTGCTGATTGAACAAAGGGACAGTCCCCCTGCTGTTTACAGCTGAGGCATCTGAGCTGCAGAAAGGTGAAGGGGAGCATGCCCCCCACGAAGGTAAAACGGGACTCGGGATTCCTGGACCCCGAGTCCCAGGTCACCTGCTGCTGTGATGTTCCCGAACATAAGGACTTTGTGAAAAAGGCGTGAATCACCTTTCAGCCTGAAAGCAGGTGCTGGGCTTCATGGGCTCAGGCTCTGCCCTCCCACCACGAAGAGCACAGCTGTGTGCATTCAGCAGGTGACAGTCACATGCCGCCTCACGCAGGAGACGGATGTCAGGGTGGAGAAGGCTCGGCCTTCTTTCCGTGGCTCTATTTGGAGAGCTGCGTTTCTCCGTCTGCTCATCAGGAAGAAATTTATCTTCTAGGATTTCATGGTGGAAAATGGGAACAGGGTCAGATTCAAGAGTACCATTAGATTATTTATTTGTATGGTTTGCTAAGTGAAATTATAGGTAACAAGGGGAAAAAATAAATGAAGCTAAAAGCTCGAGTTGCCACTCCTAAGCTCCGTCATAGGCACTGCACAAAACGCAGACTTTATGTCCTTTGAACAAAGTAGGCCATTAAGTGTGCGATGCTAAGAGGGATTTTATCTCATCTATAAATACAAGTGAATCTTTTAAGCTCCAAATCCCCATATACAGACAATTTACTGTGGTAATCAAGACGATGCTTACAATTTAACTTCAGGACCATCTGTAACTCTATTGGTATTTTAATAATAATGAATGAAAATATATGTCAGCAACAAAAATGTTACTTAAAGTAGAATTATCTTAAGGAGTCAACGATAAATTCTAAGAAGCTGTGTAAATATCATATTTACTCAAAACCCTTTTTTGTGCCTTTACCCTTTAAGGAATGGGACAGAAGACCTTTAGGATAACTGTACACATATATTGAGGAGCAAATCTCATCTTCAGATTGGAAACACCAATAAAATGTTTGAGTGCAGGGGCCATATGGATATTAGTAGGGGGATAAGTTTCTTTTCTTTTTCTCTTCTTACTGTATCTTTCCTTTATGTTATTTTATTTATTTTTATGGTGGGTAGGAGAAAATGTAGAAAGAATAAATAAGGAAGACAAGAAAAACATAGATGAAATTCAAATTCTTTTGAAAATTACAGGCTACTCTTCAATGTCTCTGTTATCCAGGCTATGGAACTGTGACCTTCATTCTTCAGGAAAAAATAGTTCTCAGTTAAAACATTATGAAAATACAACTAATTGGTATGAGACTCCTGTGTGGGCAGCTGGTAGCCCTGCCCCGGTGACCACCCTCTGGGAGTGGGGGAGCCTGAGGTTTGGTCGCCCCGAGCAGTCCTGTCGTGCCCCTGCACCCTAGGGTCTTCGTCTGTAAAGTGAGTGGCTTGAGGTGTATGATTTCAGAAGGTCCTTTGGGTTTTGAGGTCCTGAGTTTGTGAATGTGGGGTACAGTCATTTGCAAACCAGCCTGAGGTTAACGGTTACTGAGAGGAAAGGCCAGGGGTGCTGGGCCCCCCACCCCAGGTGTGGACTCCGGCCTGCCTGCAGTGGGTGGGGGCGGAGCCCTTTACGTGAGGAGGAGAGTAAAGCTGGAAGTCATTTGTTGGAGAAACAGGGAAAATAGTAAGTCTTATGTGAATAAAGGTTTGCATTTGTGAAATAGTCTTTCAGTCCCACCTGATTTTTGTAGCATGACTGGGACTTTGGAGAGCACACCTCTCACGCATCCTCCCGTGCTGGTGTGTCCTGAGACGTGGTCGCTGCTGGGCTGTGCCCATTGGGAACCTAACTTTCATCTCTCATTATGTTTCCAAAGCGTGGCATGTGCCCTCTTCCTTCATGTAAATACAAGCAGTGGACCTGGCTGGGGGATCGGCCTGTGGCAGACACACTGTCAGGAGGCCCAGCAGGGCCTGGAGTCTGACAACGACTCGGGCTGACTGGTTCAAAGCCCGCAGACGTCGGCTGCTCCCTGCCCGGCTTCCGTCCACCTGGGGCCACCCTGGGTCATGTTGACTTGACTCCCCTGGCCCAATGTCTCCATCCTGTCCTCTCCACTTGTCACTGGGTCACCATGGACCCTTAGGGCACATCAGCCACCAGGGACACTGATTCTCAGGCAGGTATTGTGGCACAGAAATGAGATCCCAGAAATGGAACTGTCGGAGCGTTTGCCCTCGATGGCACAGGTCCAGACACGACATGTGCTGCTTCATTCTGTGCTGCAGCCTTTAAAGGGGGCCTTCTCCCCGTTACTCTCACTCCATCCACAGAATGAGTCTGTGGCGGTCGTGGCAGAGACGGCTCTTGATTGTGGCTGTGGGGATACCACTCAGCGCGTCTCCGTGTGTCACACAGAGCCCCCAGGGCAGGAGGTGAACCAGGCCAGATCTCCTCTCCAGCCTTCCTCCCACCAAGGCTGTCCCAAAGCAGGAATTTAAAAAAAACACAAAAAATGCAGCCATCATCTGTGGCAGATCATCTCTCCTGTGCTTTAACAGTAGGGCACATATCTAAAAATAATACACGTTCCTGGATTCAGGAAGGTCATACGGACACATTATTTTGGGGAGCGATCTGTTGGAGGCCTGGTCTCTCGGCAGTTGAGGTGGCAGAGAGAAGGCAGAGGAGGCTGCCCGCTGGCCGGAGGAGGTGCTCCTTCCTCTCTGACTGATGTTTCCCTTCCTTACCACATTAGGGACAGGCGACCAGGACTTCAGACGCACCCGCAAGGGCCCTGTGGCAAAGTGCAGGCCTCCCTGCCCGAAGGCGTCCCGACCCGCACACTGTTTTCAGTGGGTTCACTGACTTCTGTCTGGAAACACCGGCCCCACAAACTCATGGACACGAGGCACATTTCGGAAGAGGAAGTGGGCTGTGGGGAAGTGGCAGCTGGTGTCAGTGGCACACGTTTAGGAGGTGCATAAACACTGCACTGAATATGCCACCTCAGCTCCCAAAGCCCTCAGCTGGCTTGTGAGGTCGGAGCGCTGTGCATCCTGGGTGAGGGCATCTGGCGGGGCACCGTCTGTACCACGGATGTGGGCGTGTGGGGCTGACGTGGCTGTGCGGTGGTGTTTCCCTGCGGCTCGATTCCAGTTCATTTTTCCTAATTCACCTATTCCCTGAAGATGACGGGAATAGACAAACAAGATCTGCATTGCCTTCACCTTGTCTCATGATAAGTGAACAATGTAACAGTTGCATTTCCAGACAAGTGCACGGAGTTGTGTGTGCCCAGCCTCACCTGCTGGCGGAGGCGGGGAGGGTAAAGTGGCCCTGTGCTGCCACCTCTCCAGGAGGACTCATTGGTGCCCAGGTGCCCCTGCTGTGATGGGACGTTTTCTTCCTCCTGAGGACCTGGCTCAGCTTTATGTTTTGTCAAATACCTCAAAATATTTTTCAAAACATTTGTGTTTGGGAAAACCTCAAAATGCACCTTGCCAGTTGATTTCTTTTAACACATTTAACAAACAAAATTCAATCCTTATGTTCCTCATTAGTTTTCCTGCAATTACATGAAATATTGCTCTCTAAGAATTTACTGGATAAACAAGCAGCCTCGTATTCCAATGTACATTTTCTTTTAAAAAAAAAATCAAAACGATTCTTTTTCAAAGCCTTTAGGACGTGGAGTTTACCTTCAAACAGAATTACATTTCCATTTTGTTTTGAATGATGTATGTCTAGATTTCATGAAGTCATTTTGCAACATTCTGTAAGATCAATTATGTACAAAATGGGAAAATAGAAAACCAGTGCCAGCGCTGTTCTGTGGACTGACTGACTGACTGTCTCCTTCCTTCCCTCCCTTATACTCCCTCTCAGCAACCTTTTTTGAAAGCCTATTATGAGTCACATTCTTTGCTAAGGTCCCCCAAAGAATGTGCCGCTTAGTGGAGGATGCTCGCATGTGAGTGACCGGTTGCAGAACGTGTAGGCGACCCGTGTGCTCTGTGAGGAGCAGGTCCACACGTGGGATCAGATGGGCAGGTATCAGTGTCCGACTGGAGGCATATATCAAGACCCACCCCTGCCCAGGACCCCACCCTGTCCCACATTGGCCCAGCATCAGAGAGGCCTCAGAGGCATGCCTGCAGTCAGGGGAGGCTGGAAGGGCAGCTATGAAGGTTGTGCAGGATCAGGCATCAGGTTCAAGACTGCACAAGACGGGGGACTTGTCTCTTACTTCATGGAATATAAATGAATTATTATGATTAGTAACTCATCCTCTGATGCTTTTCACATGACTGGATGAGAGACATTCTAAGCCATTCTGTCCCTGCAGACACAGCTTTTACAGGAGTCCACAGGGCTGGAAAGCGGGGAGTCATTAAGCAACCTCCCCTTTAATGGTCTCCATACAGCCTGATGTGGGCTTCACTTTGGTTAAAGGACTGGGTGGACAGCGGCCTTTGTGTCAGACAAATCTTGGTGAGAATTCTGGCCACACTATTTTCTGGTGCCGTGACCTTGGACAGACCACTCAGTTCTAGACTTCAGATTCCGCTGCCCCAGACAAGCCTGTGAACCCCTGGCAGGGCGGTCACGGGCAGGAGATGAGGGTGCACAGGTGCGGGAGGGGTCCTGGCCGGGCAGAGGGCACTTGGTAAATGCAGGGGGCCGAGGCCGGGAGTCCTCTCTCTGCGAACATCTCCTGCTGACGGAATTCCCTCTCTCTCTCTCTGCTGTCCTCCAGACAACTGTGATGACCCGCTGGCGTCCGTGCTGTCTCCGGAGGCTTTCTCCAGTTCCTCGGACCTCACCGGGACTCACAGCCCAGCTCAGCTCAACCGGCGAGTTGGTGAGTAGGGGCCTGAGCTGCTGAAGGCCATGCAGATGGGCACGCAGTGGGGAGGCGGACCAGGGCAGCAGGGCCGCCCGCCAGGCTTGTGCCCAAGAGCGGTGCTCAGAGGAAGGCTGGGGAGGGGTGGCGGCTGACAGGGAAGGAGCTGCGTTTCCCCGCAGGTAACAGGTGTTCAAAGCATGCGGGCTCTTGTTCTACACGCACTATTCTTCTTTGAGTATTGTAAGAGGCTCTGTGAAAATAAGTTTTTTGAAAAGTGTGCTTTATTTTTATATTTCATATAGCTAACAAATAGCTACCAAGATATTAAACTTATAAAAAGCATTATGGACTTTTTTTTTTTTCCTTCAGTGATTTCAATGTTTGCAATGAAATAAATGTTGCTAAGTTTAAAATTAAATTTATTAGTTATAGTATTATAAATGTATAATACTCTTAAAATAGATACAACACTATTAAGTAAAAGTAACAACTATATACAAATGATGAATAATCCTACCAGCTAAATGTTGGTTTGTATCACACTTCTAATGTGATAGAAATACGACCAGACACCCTTAACTAATCTCTTATATGATGTTGGATATCTAGATATATCTTTAATCATATTTGGGTCTTGGCTTTTATAATAGTTACATAGACATTTAAAAATTTTTTAAATCAAAAGACTAAATATCTGATATTTGTATATTTATATACATACAGTGAGCATTATAAACTTTTTCAAATTGAGAAAATGGCATGCAACCTCAAGAGGTATATTGATCTGTTAAGAGTTCATGTGAATCGCTCTTCACTGTATTTTCCCACTGATATATTCGGCCAGTTCATATGGTTAAGTTTCCTAATGTTGACCCATCTTCGCATTCTGGAGAAAGTTCTAAATGGTGGTTGTGTTATTGATCTTGTTTTTAGAAGTGCAGAATGATTTGTTAATGTTTTAATTTATATTTTGAATTTCCATTAGTAGTAAGATCTGTAATATTTTTTTGTATACTTCTTCATTTTGTGGTACACTTCACAGGTATTTTGTTATAACGGGGCCAGTAATTTAAAAGTTAGCAAGTCCTATAGCGTAGCTGGGAAAAGAGTTTAAGGATGCGATTCTGAAGGGAAAGGATGGCCAGTGAGAGACCGACAAGAAAATATTAATGCAATTTTGTGCTCACATCGCCTTTTGCTGAATATTTTATGCCAGTGTTTTAAAGTGTTTCACCTATCCTATGGTAGTTAGTTTTCACAAAGATACCTTAAGCTGAGCATTATTACCCTGTACCTTCAGAGAGGGCTCCTGAGCCTCAGGAAGTTAGAGTCACCCAGTCGGGAAGAGGAATGTATGGGTTCAAAGCTGAATCGTCCAAATCCAATTTCGCTGCTGACCACCGTATCAGCAAACTGATGCACTGTCTCAGGGTGAAGAGGGGTGTGTTAAAAAGAAAGGACTTGGAAACTGATCGGCAGAGGTCAGATGCTGCATAAGACATTTGCTCACAGACTCTGGGAGTGTCTGCAAGCCTCCTTCCTGCCCCCCACCTCAGTTCTGCATCTGGAACGGGGACAGTGACGCTTGCCTGGAAGCCCGGGAGCAGGCTGAGACCAGGTGTGCACAGTCAGAAGATCTAACCTCAGGGTGGAGAATCAGCCTGCAGCAGGGAGGTCTGCCGATCATTGCAGGAAGGAAGAGGGTCTGCCTCGCCCCCACCCAGCTGTGTGAGCAGAACGTCACTGTACCCTAGCCTCTCCTGGGCAGTTGCTGCTGTCCCGGGCCAGCCGCTGTGCAGGGAAAGATTTGACTGCAGAGATATCTGCTCCCTGGGGAAGCTGGGTGCCTGAGCCCAAGGCTAGAGTGAGTGTGTGCAGAGAGGAGGCTGACCTCTCTTCTCCCAGCCAGACTCTCAGTCTGGGCAGCCATTCAGGAGATGCAGCCTGGAGCTGGGGGCAGTGGCTGCAAAATGGTCCTCCAGCACAGCTCCCAGGACAGAGAGCCTCCCCTCTTCTCACCAGCCCAGCCTTCACCCTCGGGGGGAAATTAAGCACAGGCTCAAGGGCCTATTAGTTCAGCAGCTCTCTCGTAAGCGCTGTGCATTCGAATCGGCTGGAGGACTTTACAGGTAACAGTGCCTGAGCCCATCTCCCAGATACTCTGAATTAATTGTCTGGAGTGTGACCTGGCTATTGAAAAAATGTCTGGAATATAATCACAGATATTGATAAATAAATACAAGTGTCCCAGGTGATTCTAACATGCAACAAGAATTGCCAACTCTTAGATTGGGTGAATTTCTGAAGAACAAGTACTTTAATTAATATTCACTGAGTGCCTACTGTGTCCAGGCGCTGTGCTAAAACCCTGGCACATAGCTGGTAAAAATAGGCATATACCCTATTCATATAGAATTTACATGGACTATGCAAATTGCTATATAATTAATTAATAGCTAACATTTGCGGTTAGTGACAACATTGATACTTCAATATATAGAATAGAAACAAGGTGCATATGTATATACATACACAGGATATATACAAAGTCAAATATATAGACACAGGTGGATATTTACAGATTTCGATATATGATACATAACACACATGCTTGTTTATATGGATGTGATAGTAATATGCATGTGCATATATAATAGATACAAACATTATTTTGTTAATACCATTAAGAACATATTTCATCATGTGAGTTTTCTAACTATGATATTTAGAAAGGTGAGAAAACTAATTTCTCATTTGCATTGGAAATAGGATAAGTAATTATTTTTCTCCTTAAAACAGACTTACATGCTATCTGTCCATTGAAACACCTAGAAGTGATTATAACTGTCTAATGAATACTCCTTTGCTACACACCTGCCTTAAAGAACTTCCCTTTTATTTAAAAGAGGAAAGACATCAAATATACCCAAAGAAACAACCCATTTTATGGGGCTGGAATTCTCAGGACTTTCAGATGTATGTGGAGATTTCAGATAGCAAGTTGATTTTAATTTGAATTCTCCATATAATGTTGTAAACAGCAAGTTTCCCAGACAGCTGCAGAGAAACTGCACAAAAGGCAGTCACTCAGCACTGCCAGCCATGGTCTGAAGGGCGGGCCTGGGGCCTCGGGGTTCCTGTCTTCAGCATAAACGAGCAGCCATAACGACAGTATCTGTGGCTCCTACCATGGGATGTCACTGTTCTAAGCTTCCAGACACACTGACTCGATCCCAGAACTATCCTCCCTGTAGTGTATTATTATCTCCATTTCATAAATAAATCACCTCCATTTCATGGGTAAAAATGCTATGGCACAGAGAGGAAAAAAGGTTAGAATAAGATTTCTAGGTGGATACAAAACTGGATCAAATCTGATAGAATAATGAAACCTGGGAGTTTCATCTTCTCTAAGGGACAAACATTTATAAGTTAGCATGTAACTTCACAGTACGAAGGTCTAATCAGCCAGTGAAGAGCAAAGTCAACAAAAGGGGCTTTTTCCTGCAGCATTAAATAATCACTGATGGACCTTTAAAAATTGCCTGAGGGTGGTACTGAGAGGACTGACCACACTGTATTTGATTTCTAAGTTTAGGATAGTTTTTTTCTTACCGTAGCTCATTCATTCATTCATTCCCTTTCCACAGCATGTCATGAATGCCTTCCACCCCACCCCACCCCACTGGGCCTCTGTACTCTGGGGTCCACCCAAGATAGAGTCCAAAGCACAAACTCTTGACTTCCACTGATGGTAAAACTCTTCACTCCTCCCGCACTAAGTCTCCTTCATTGAATTGAGCGCCTGCAATGGCATCTTCAGCTCATCACCGCCAGACTATTCCACAAAGTGGGCTCCCCTGAGCGTGCCCGGGGGCATTTAGAACCGCTGCCCTCAGATGTGGAGTGGGAATCATATGCACCCCTGGTGCACACTGACCACAGCAGGGAAGGCCCTCCGCCACCTCCTCTGTGCACTCAGAACCCAAGCCCACACGTGCGGCCTGTTCCTGGGGATGAAGGGCGCACAGCTCATGAGATGGTCGTGGGAGCGGCAGGGGTCAATCCCAGTGGAATGGAAGGATGTAGGAAGGGGCGCTCAGGCCACGGGAGAGGAAGTCCAGCAAGTTCTTTGGGCGGCGAGCTATCCCGAGAGAGACACAGCCGTGGAAGAGCCCTGGGCCTCAGGCGCTGTGCCCACCCCAGGAGGGGGATGCGAGTGTCTCAGCTGAGGGGGGGCTTCGCCAAAGGGGACCTGCTCTGTCATTTCCACACACTCCTCGGCCCCATGTCATCCCACAGGAGGAAGCAGCCAGGAGGAGAGCTAATTGCTTTGAAAACCGATGAAAACATTAAACGGGGTGGGAGCTCCATTAACGTAGGTTGCCGGGTCAGTCTCTGTAATTGTGGCTTTAGAGGGATTTGACTTTGTCAGACGTGGTACGTTTTGTGGCAAGAAAGCTTTTGATCTGGGCATTAAAGTCGGCCGGGTGCCACAAGCACTTACTGCCGGCAGGACATGTGGGAGCTGGGGCGCAGCTTGAAGCTGCCGAGCTCTGGGTCAGACCTGCTGGCAAGTCAGGGGAAGGTTTAAAGTCACTTTATGTGATTAACAGGCAAATAGGAGCGACGTCTTTGGCCCCGTGAGAGGCGAGGTTGGTATTTTTCTTTCCCATTCTTTTTTCCCCCAAATACAGTCTTGCAAACAATTAAACTTACCGTTTGTTCCTGGAAATTTTAATCCTTCCTCCTCACCCAGTATATTTTTGAGATGCTTGCCGGGGTACGTTGAGATTGTGTTTCTAGCATGACAATTTTGTTGCCATGGAGAAAGTGATTTTTTATGTCAAGGCATTTTCAGCTTCCTGGGCTCTTGGGGGAAGGAAGCGGCTGGAGGCCCTCGGCTCCCTTCGGCATGGGGTCCACATGCCCCTTTCATGGCGGCCGTGCTGGCAGCAGAACCTATGGAGCCGTGCAGGGCCAGGGTGTGGGTTTTCAGCTCGGTGTCGCTGGCC